CTTTTCTTCAATATACTTTTCTATTCAAAATATGGAGCTTAATTCTGATAGCTCTAATCAAAAGAAGATAACTCATACTGATAGTAGAGTTATCACTTTCATGTGTTGTATCAATAAGGTAGCAACATGTTTACCTTTTGATATCAAGAAGTTAATTTTTGCAAAAGCAAAAATTATTAGATCAAAAGAAATTATTGATGCTCAAGCAAAACCCTTTTGTGGTAGAAGCTCTTTTGCCAGAAAAAGGAGAGCTAAAAAATTCAATATGTGTTACAAATGTGGTAATTATTTTCATGACAATTCCGGTGTTTGTCCCTGGAAATCTGATATGCTCAAATTCAGAAACGCTGATAGACTTCATTGGCTAAAGTATGGATTGAGTAACGAAAGTGAGGCGCCATATAGACGACAAAGTCTACATGCTTCAATTCAAGAACTTTTGCGTGAATTAGAAATTTGAGGTATCTTTTCATAATTATCTTTCTGATGCTATATAGTATTGAGCATCTTACAATATTGAGTAATAAGAAGAAAATGAATCAAAACTATTGATTTATAGTAGTAAAGAAAGATTGATGTATGGCATGGATGTCTGCTGGATAGACGTTGGTCAGCCCGTGTGTGCCGGAGAAGGCGTTTTGGGTGGTCCCGTTTGTAGGCTTTGCACTGCTTCAATTGGCCTGAAATACTATGATATTGATAAAGAGATTGCCATATTCGTATTACTAATTCAATAATGTTTTGTGCTGGAAACGATATAGAAGAAGAAGATGGAGATGAAAAGTACTTCTTACTACTTTGCAAAGAAGATGAATTGATTCAAGAATTCTGTTCAAAAGTTTCCATTCAATCAAAAGATGGTTACTTTCTCAAAAGTTGCAGACAAAAGAATCTTCAAAAGTTGAGCTTAATAATTCAAGAAACGGACAAAAGAGACGAGAGATAATTTTGTCCTTCAAAATCAATGTAATTTTTCAATTTATTGTTAACTTTCAATGTAAGAGAGTTTAGACGGGAGATAAACTTCTCACTGCAAGTTCAAAATATTGTATCTTTCAATTATCAATCAAAGTTATTTTCTTCAAATATTTCTGAGTTTATTTTGAATTCAAATTATTACCTTCTTTTGTCGCCTATTCACCTGGGTCAATTTTAGTATTATTTTGAACTTGCAGTGAGAAGTTTATCTCCCGTCTAAACTCTGATTACATTGAATGAGAAACATTGAATTTATAACTTGAAAAAGTAGTTACAGGAGGAATCTTGAATAGTTGATTGAACAGTTGATTGAGGCCTCGATTGAACAGTGTTTTGTCTTTCAAAGTTATTTTCTTCAAATATTTCTGAGTCTCTTTTGTGCAAATTATTATCTTCTTGACACAGGTTATATATATATATATATATATATATATATCGTTTACAATTTTTTTAAAAAAATTGGAATTATAGTTGCAATTAGTTTTTTATTTTTTATTTAAATAAGATGATATATTCGTCATTTCAAAACTTTTTTTATTAAGAAATTGGATGAAAATGGATATAAATGATGTTTGCGAAATCAAAAGTGTAATTGAGCGTGAAAATGTTAAAAAAAATGAAAGGAATAGACGTTTTTCACAATAATAGTGAAATATAGGGATATTATGTGCTAATTACCCTTTTAATAATTTATTTGGGACTCATTTGTACTTTTTAAAAAATTTTGGGACTATAATTGCAATTAGTTATTTCCTTTTCTTTTTGTTTTGTTTAAACAGAAGGGTATGTTCGTCATTTCATTGCTTTTAATTGAAAAAATGGATGAAAATGATATTTTACTCAATGAAATGTGAAAATAATGGTGAAAATGCCAAAAAGGTGAAAGGTAATGGCGTTCCACAATACTAGTGAAATGTAAAAACGTTATGTATTAATTACCATTTTTTGTTTTTTTTTTAAATAGAATGGCATATTCGGCATTTCACACTTTTTAATTAAGAAAATATTTGAAAATGATAGTTTTGAAATGTGGAAATGTGGATAAAAATGTTAAAAAAATAAAAGATAAAAATGTTTTTCACAATAATAATGAAAGATATGTACGTTGTGCTATATGTTAATTACTTTTTTTTTTCTTTATTGTACACACGCACTGCAATTCTTGATCATCAAGGCTGTCATCTGGGTTTTGGTCCTCATTGTGACTCCCATTTAATGCCCTGAGAGAGAGAGAGAGAGTGTGTGAAGTAGAGGGAGAAAGTGAGGAATTGTTTAAAGGGTCTTTCTTGATTTGACTTCGAAATTTTCCTCTCAGATCTATTCTGGGTCTTCTGTTTTTGTTGAAACACTGTCGTTTCTTTTAGATTTCTTGTCGTGTTGCAATAAGTGCTCTATTTGGTGTCCTCGTTTGTCAGAAGAATTCATAATCTTCAGTTTGAGTATCCTATGAATGGATCACTCCGTACCTCGTTTTCCAGAAAAAAGAAATTTTAATGTCAGTTAAAACATCATCTATGAGTATATTGTTCCTAAATCTTTTCAAATGAATCTCAAAACTCCCAGTTGTCTTGATATTTTATTCCTCGATATTGATTTTACAACCTTGGAATCTCTACCCAGTCCACTACACAGCCAGCTCATTCATATGGGAATTCTCCTTTAATCCATTCCCCAATCCCCAAATTTCAGTTCTTTTAACAAACCATTTTTATATACAGTAGCCTGTTGCTTTGAATCAAATTTGATTATTGGGTTGTACTTAATTTTTACGAAAATGGGTTGTGCATCTTCAAAGGAAAAAGTGTGCCGGAATTGCCAGGGACCTTATTCTCCGGTCAGGCGTAGCTACTCAATGCACGTGCATCACCTGCCTCAAGAAACGGTGGATAGCTACCACATGGTGTATCTTACTTCCTCCACTTTAGGTTCTTTGAAGCTTGATGATCCATTGATTCATAGTCCTAGTATTGAAAACGAGGATTTGTTGATTCAGAGTCATTGTTCCATCGAAGAAACTCAGGTCGAAAATAAGGAAATCGATAAAGAAAAGGCAGTGAAAGAGGACTTCGCAATGGGGATGATTGAGGCCAAGACTTGGTCTAAAATGATCAACGAGAAAATCCCAAAGATTGTTCCCAAAACGCCCATTAGGACGCCTCCTGGCGAGCCAGAATTGATCAATGCTTGGGAGTTGATGGAGGGTCTTGATGACATTAGTCCTCTTAGACCTCCACGTCATCTGCGTAGCTTTTCCTTTCATGTATCTCAGAGTCCAAGTTTATCTTCTCTAGACGAGCAACCAACGCCTAGAGTGAAAGAAAATGGCGAAGCGCCGCCAAAGACTTTGTGGCTCGAAATGGCTGATAATGATTCGAGTTCGAATGATGCATATATTGTCTCTGAATTTGATCCTGAAGTGATTGCCACTTTCAGAAGAGCACTCGAAGAGGATCTCCCGCCGGCCAGTCCAATTCATCTCAAGGATCAGGCCTTGGTGAATAAGATTGCGCCACGTGGTACAGACAAGTTGATAGTGTATTTCACAAGCCTAAGAGGGGTGAGGAAGACATACGAGGATTGTTGTCATGTTAGAGTGATTCTTAAAGGGTTAGGTGTTAAGGTTGATGAGAGGGATGTTTCAATGCATTCTGGGTTCAAGGAGGAGTTGAAGGACTTACTGGGAGAAGGATTCAATGCCGGTGGCCTGCCGAGAGTTTTCCTAGGGAGAAAATACATTGGCGGGGCTGAGGAAATACGCCGGTTGAATGAGGACGGAAAGCTTGAGAAAGTAGTCGAAAGTTGTCAAATGGTAGACGATGGTGGAGGAGGAGGAGGTGGAGGATACGGTAGTGGAGTTTGTGAAGGATGTGGTGATATTCGATTTGTGCCATGTGAAACGTGTTCGGGGAGTTGTAAAATCTATTATGAGGATGATTATGACGATGAAGAACACGATGAAGGTGAGAACGAATATGGTTTTCATCAGTGCCACAATTGTAATGAAAATGGACTTATACGATGTCCAATATGTTGTTATTAAGCAAGCAAGAATTTTCTTTTTCTTTTTTCGAACTTAGATCTCAATTTTGTGAGTTTGTTCTTGTACCGTAAGGGAATTTTTTATTTATCAAATAATTCGAGGAATGTACGTACTTTTTTCTTTCATCTCACGTCTCTCTTCTTTAATATCAATGATCCGGTCGAGATGAATATTCGAATTTGATAACTTAGCAATAGGTTCATAGGTGGCGAGTGGTGACACCAAATTCTATTAGCAAGCCAAAGTGGAAAGCATGAAAATCTGGTTTGTTGACTAATGATTCCGTGAATACACACTTATCAATATTTTATACGACACTCTAGTAGCAGGTCGGCTCAATCATTCTCGTGAAGCTGTCCGAGGCCGCCTTGTTTTATTTTTTTAATTTTATATACTTGGTAAATTCCCCAACAACTAAATTATTTAATGCTAACTTCTTCAAGTTAGGTATGAACTATGAAGAAGAATTGTGGTCAGCACAATTTGTGCTGACTAATAGACTTCGGCGTTAGCGGTCAACCAATATAACATACTAACGAACAATATTTTAATTTCTTGTTCAATACGTATAAAAGTTTGGTGCAAATCCCGTTTTGTGCATTGAAGTTTTGCAAATGATAATTTCATAAATTAAAATACATCGATTCCTGAAAATGGTATCCAACTCTTGAAATTACGTCAGCGGTCAACCAAAATAATAGACTAACAAGCAATATTTTAATTTCTTGTTCAATACATATTCTCCTTTTGCGCATTGAAATTTCGCAGATGATGATAGAAAATTGAAAAGGAATATTGGATAACTTGTTTTGACAAATTTATCCATCAAGTAAGATGTCATTTAAGTTAAAATTACTGTTTCAACGTTGACTGATAATTTTATGGACAAAATGCGTGAAATGAACCAACGCTGTAATTATATATAAAGGTTTGGGTGTAATATGCAACAAAATGAAAGGTTTGGGACCAGCACTGCAATTTTTTCGAGTCAAAATTAATGTTGAAACGTTGACTGGCGATTTTATGGACGGAATTAAAGGCTTAGGACCGACGCTGCAACTACATATAAAGGTTTGGGACTTCGACCCAAAAATAAAAGGTTTGGGTGTAATCTGCAACAAAATGAAAGGTTTGGGACCACGGCAGCAATTTTCCCTTATTTAATGCTAACTTCTTCAAGTTAGGTATGAACTATGAAGAAGAATTGTGGTCAGCACAATTTGTGCTGACTAATAGACTTCTGCGTTAGCAGTCAACCAATATAACATACTAACGAACAATATTTTAGTTTCTTGTTCAATACGTATAAAAGTTTGGTGCAAATCCCGTTTTGTGCATTGAAGTTTTGCAAATGATAATTTCATAAATTAAAATACATCGATTCCTGAAAATGGTATCCAACTCTTGAAATTACGTCAGCGGTCAACCAAAATAATAGACTAACAAGCAATATTTTAATTTCTTGTTCAATACATATTCTCCTTTTGCGCATTGAAATTTCGCAGATGATGATTTCATAAGTTCAAATACATTGATTCCTCACAAGGGTAACCAACTCTTGAAATTATCATTCATTAGCCACTAAGGAACACTAGAATAATACCAGTTATGTGTACCAAAATTGTGGGGATATATACATTTCTATTCCACTAAATATTGAAAGGAAAATGTCATACGGAGATTAGCCATTACTCACAAATAGAAGGCAACAATAGCCAGCAAAACAATAAGCAATACATAAACATGCAACCTTTTGCAATCTGAATTCGAGCCCATTTGACAGGATTTCTATTTTTGCTTTTGCTTTTGCTTCTTATAGAATAGCTTTTAATCAATTTTCTTTAAAAGTTCTTCTAATCAGACAAAACATTTTAAAAAATTATTCAGACATGTTGAAAAACTACATCTTAATTTCAAAAAGCAGCTTTTGACTTTAAAAACCCTTCCAAACGACCCTTTATGTGCCCTTCGCTTAGCTAGCAAATTTTCAACTTGATGATAAAATCAACATGCACAACCACAATTTAGGTTCAATTGTTAAAATAGAACCGAAGGTGTTCTAAATCTTGTATGTTATCTAAAACTTGTTATTCAATTCAGTAAGATATTTAACATTGAAATAGATGGAAGTGTTTAAGTTCACAACCACCAATTAAATTTCAAAGAATCTAATCATCTTCATTATTTTTAAAATACATTTTTCTCTTTTCTTTTTAACTACACATATTTTAATAAAATAATATTACTCTAAAATTCAAATTTTTTTCCTTTTTTAACCACACATTCTATATCAATCTATAATTCCAAAATGCGTTATTCTTCAATAAAAATGAGGTGCAAACAGGCTCCTAATTAAATCAATCTACTAGACATTTTTTAGCAGATAACATTTGTTTGATTTAGTTAAAAATTATATTTTTTTAGATTTTGATAAAAATGAATGAAATATTTGATTGAAAATTTATTAAAATTGTGAGTCCCATGCAATTTAAAAGATGAATTTGATGGGATGAATTTTAAACAATGGAGTGCAAACATGACTAAAGTTGTTACATATGGCCAGAATTGTTATGGGCCCCCAAAGAACTTAATTATAGAATTGATAGATTCAAAAGTTGGATTGAACAAAAACCCATGGGCCTCTTGTATGAAAATATGTCAAGTAATTACAAGTTTAAATAAAAATTGAGCTTTATTCAGCCCCTATTTGGTGCACATTTTGCGAGTAATAATGCATTTTTATTGTTAATGTAATGAGAATATGTAGTTGAAAAAGAAGGAAAAGTTATTAATGTGATGGAAAATATTATTTTATTGAAAAATGTGTGGTTGAAAATGAGTAAACGAATGAAAATGAGAAAAATAATGTAACTCAAACAAGGGCTCAATCTAGATATTTAATTTTTATATATATATATAGATTTTAAAAAATTAGGTGTACTTTTTGGAGGCTTCTTAAGATTCTATAAAAGTTTTGAGTATTAGAATAGACTTTTCAGAAAGTTTTGGGAAATTAAAATCGACACTTTCTAAAAGTCTAAAAAAGTCGTGAATATTTAAAATGTCAAATGACTTTTATAAAATTTTCAAGGATTTTGCTTTTACATCACATAATAATATGACGTGGAAGGAAAAGATTATATGAAAAAGTTGATTGTGTTTATACTGACAAATAGCAAGGTGTCATGTAGTATTAGGTAATTCATTATCTAAATATTGATGCAAGTGTAGCAAGATTCAATCTTCAAGTCCTAACTTTTAAGCAAAATGTATAAATACAAAATCTCATGAAAGTTTTTCAACTATGCATAAAATTTTGTGAAAATGTTGCTTAATCCGTAGGCAGGGTGCATTATAGTAATGTTCTCCAATCCAGGAAGTACCCTCACTAGAACTTAGTAGGAAGCCATGCACGTAGGTCTAACCTACTTTCGTAAATTCAACAAGGTTTTATGTTTAACATTGTTCTTAGCCGCCCATGGCTAGTGGTGTCAATGGGCCGAGCCGAGCCGGCTCGGCCCATTGTCGCACAAGCTCGGCTCGTGGCTCGTTGGCAACGAGCCGAGCTCGTTGCCTTTTGGGCGAGCTCGGCTCGTGCCCTTGGCTCGGCTCGCTTTTTATTTTTTATTTTTTTAAATAACGCTACTAGTACTACAAGTCTATTTTTTTTAAATATATATTTTTCAAAACATTTATCGGGGCTCGTCAAAACATTTATAATTTTTAAAATAGTAAATATACATTTATT